TTAATCTTATTTCATATTTTTTTCGTTTTCGTCATTGATTTATGAATGTTTGCGTGCGAAATCAACATTAAAATATGTTAATGAAATGAAAAAAAAACCTACACCATTTCCTATTAGGTATTATATTCGAATTTTTCAATACTCATAATAAAACCCAGTAAGATTTTCCAAACAATTTGACTGTAATTTTGTATTTTGGGTTCTCAATGAATGCCATATATCCGTACTAAAAATTATTAACATTGGCCCATGTTTCAGGGTAGCCACATATAACGGTACCCCCGTATTCAGAGTATGTTGGGGATTTTGGACACGTTTTTCAACCAAATTGGTTGTAATTTGATATTTCGTATTCTCATTGGCTGTCAAATATCACCACCAAATATATCAATATTGATCTTTGTTTTATTATATTCCCATATAACGGTATATTTTGTAACAGGCAAAAGGAATCGTTATAGACCCATGGTTCCTTTTGAGAATATGCATAGAATCACTTTCGGAGTCGATTTATGCATGTCCGTCCATGTATTTTTGTGAACAAAGTACAGATCGCATTTAGGATCCGATTTAGATGAAATTTGGCACATGTCATTTATTTGGCCCAAGGACGAACCTAATTGAAATTGGAGAAAATCGGTTAAGATTTATATATAGCTTCCACATATAGTTTCGTCCGATTTTAGGTAAATGGTGCACCAAACTCCCAATATTGGTCCAATTGAAACAAAATTTTGCAAATTTTGTCTAGATTGATATATGCCGAGTTTTGTTAGAATGGGTTCAGATTTATAGCTCCCTTATATAGTTTCGTCCGATTTTATGTAAATGGTGCACCATACTATAGATGTTTGTCCGATTGATATATGTCAAGTTTTGTATTGGATTTTGTGTTCATTTATATATAGATCTTTTATATATTTTGCTCGACGATTGACATTCAATTTTTCATAAATTTCAGATTGATAACCAAAGTGGTGAAGGGTATCATATAGTCGGCCCTGTCCGACTTTTGAACTTTCCTTACTGGTTTGGTAGTGAGATATGACAGCCAATGAGAATTCAAAATATTAAATTCTCTAAATACCGACTTGGGTCAATATTAATCATTTGTGAGAACCCAAAATACCAAATTCCCATTTTGGGGTCTAACCTTAAACGTGATTCAATATTAAAGAAATTTTTGTACTGGAATTTGCTATTCTAGGAGGACCAGAAATACTAAGCTACAGCCAATGCGGTGGAAAACGGGTCCAAAATCACTGAAATACAAAATACCTGGCGGATCCGATATTTGGGGGATATCCTGAACTATGGGTCAATCAATATTCAAAAAGGGAACTTTAAAAACTTCAGCCGAAAGAGAGATGTACCCAATTTATCTCAAAAATAGTGTGAGCTGGCACATCCATGGTTCTTAATGGACCACATTGAAATCGGTATAGATCGATGTATTTTTTTAGGGTGCACACCGAAATCGGATGCAGTTTTCGGAAATTATTCGTGTTTTACGATTTTTTGTATACTTCAATGCAACGTGTCGCACATCTTAGCCGTCAAATGAAATTCTCAAAATATATATGGATTGGAAGATAAACTTCAGTACTTCCTGGAAACCGCATGCGCATCAAATGATTTTGAGAATTACGCGATTTAGACGCAATTTAAAATGTATATTTCATAATATTTTATGATTTATTCCTATTTATGGAACCCTAAGATTTATCGGAAGGGTTTTGATATAATCCGCAAGTCGTATACTTATACACAAAAATTGATTATTATATATGTCAATTTTTCGGCGAAATTCGGGTAAAATAGCAGAATAAAAACAACAATTTTTTCTGAAATTTCTTGTATAAAATTAAAAAAAAAAAATATGATGCCATTATTTTTTCGAACCAAAAACAAATATTTTTCTTCAATATTTTTTTTTTCTGTCGCTGTGATTTACAAATCGCTACACGGACTTGTGTGATTTTGATGTCATTTGATTCAGCATGCTGTTTAGATTATGTAGATATTGTTAAATTAATTTTTAGGTGTGTGTATGTCATTAATGTATTGAAAATATTGATGTAATCTGCTATATTTTTTTTTTATTTTTCTTATATTTCGTGAAGATGTGCAACTTTATCGCGATTATTATAATATATTGATATTCTTATTTTGCGAACGGTTTCGGAGTCAGAACATATTTCTCTATATGTGTACCAAAAATCATTGATGTGCCACAAAAACAAAAAAGCTGATTTTTTGAAAATGGAATATTAAAAAAGTGGCAATATTGTCCATATACTTTATAGGGTCGGAAATGATTATTTCGATGCGTTACAAACGGAAAAACAAAACTAATATACCCTCCATACTATGGTGGAGGGTATAAAAATGGGTGAAAATGTTTTGAAGTCAACAATGTATGTCCGATCGACAACAATTTTCGTTCATTCAAACAAAATCACTATGGAATAATTAGAATTGATTTTGGTTTCATTGGGAAATGGTGAATAACTTTTTATTGAAATAATATTAATAAAAATAGTTTCATAGTGAATAATTAATCTATATATTTGGATTAGTGATTATTAAATATTGTACTGCGTCCACTATATATGTTTGCTTATGCTGATATTAATATATTTTTTTCTTATTGTATAAATCGTTCAATAGAAGTGAAATGTATTGGCAAATATTTCAACATATTCACACGTTTTTATAATAAATATTTTTCTTCGAAATTGATCGAATTGATTTTTATTATTTCATTAAACATTCACATAATCATGATATATTGTCCTTAATAGCAATATTAATGATATTGCCCAGTTAGCATTTTGCATAAATATGGAAATTCTTGAGAATAGCTAATATTCATTTTGTTTTTGAAAAATTGTTCTATGATGAATAAATTTGCAAATAATGAAACTAGTTTCAAAGTGCTTCAGATATAGATAGTTTATGATTTATTATACTTAATATAAATATCACAATTTGCAGTTGAAAACACAAATATTTAATGTCTAATATTTGCAATATAATATTATAGTTTGGGCTTTTAGTTTGTAAATTTATATTTCGACGCATTGTCAGTGTATAATAATGCATGTTATTCGATCGAGACGATATTTTTATATTCTGCGTCAAAACAAAAAAAAAAAATAAATAAATAAATAAATAAAATAAAAAAATAATAATGCAAACTTTTGTTATTCGATTGGATCTACTCATGATTTGCTCGAACCGACTTCATGATACCCAACATCCCATTACGTATATGGAGGGTGATTTTTAGCTATTATCCTTTTTAGCAAAACTGCTTTAGTTCAGTTCAGTTTACGCATGTTTCGTGTTTTGTTTCAGTATCAAACATTTTCAGTTTGGTTTGTAGTGTTACCAAGAATTGTCCAATAAGAACCCATTGCACCAAATTTCAGCGAATTCGGTTGAAATGCGAATTCATGAACGCCAAAATATTTTGAACGCCAAAATATCTCAAATATATGGGGACAATGCCTCAATGAACTTCTACAAAATTCGGATTAATTCGGAGATATTAATCCGAATTTTTCATACAACATAAATTCTTGAAATTGAATACCGAATGTAAGTCGATTAAAGGAATCGAAATTGATCTGTGTTTTTATGTAATTATTTTTTTCACAGCATGATTAATTTCGTTCAACATCTTCAAACTGTTAACATTCAAAGCCACAAGAAAGTAAAATAGAAATGTAAATTAATATTACATAAGATTTGTTAACGGAATTAAAACATCTTACATGGGCATTGTATATTGTATTTGAAAGAAATGTATATTGGGTGGGTAGCATGATTTGCGAATTTCTTTCTTTCAAATAAAGACCACCAATGAGGTCAAGAAAAAGTAACATGAAATGCTATACTATTTGTAATAGGGTGAATGGTAGTAGAGTATTTGCCGTTAAAAATAAATTTCCATTATATTTTTTAATAAAAATATAAATTGAAAATAATTGGAAATAACATTTTTTCTTTGTGCTTTTATCTTTTACAACAGTTATCTCCCACAATGTGCCGGTAACCAGACAACCAACATTTACTTGAGACATCACAAGTTGCAGCAGCAGCAGCAACACTGGCGGGACATTTTGGCCAGGCAGCCAGCCAGTCGGCAACAGCAAACATAGATTTGTAAAACGATAAGAAAACAATTTTTGTTTTTTTGACAAAAGTCAAGAAAAAGTTTAACGAAATCAAAGAGTTTGTTATAACACCCTCACAGCAATTTTTAAGGCGAGGAATGAATGAACAAACCCCCAACAACTACAAATGTTGTATCATAGATACATGTGCAGTCAATATCATACATACAACTCAATACATTAATTAACAACATTGCCATACCAGAATAATGCTCCAACAATTTAAGTCAAATTGTACAAAGGTAGTAGTGATAGCAACAACAACAATCAACCAAAAATTATCGAACATCAATATTGTCAATAACATCAGCAACACCAACAACACAAGCAACATGCCAACAACATCTCTATCAGCAATGGTATTATCAAAAGTGTCGTCTTCTTCTGCACCATCATCTTCATCGTCAATGGAATCGGAATTTTTATTATTTTTGTTGCAATTATGATTCACCATTGTCATCATCGAAAAACTAACAATCAACAAAAGTCAATGGGTTTTATAAAAAACATTTCATTTACATAAAATATTGATTAAAATTCTTTTAAAAGTTTTAAAATCGAAAAATACGAAACTAGTATCCAAGTAAATCCCCAAAACAAGAATTTTGTTTTAAATCTTCTTTTAACTATCATTGACATATTCAGACAAACACGATTCACAACGAACGATACAAAAATTAGACTGAGAGATCTTCATCGGAAGATAGTTTGCAGAACACATTTAAACGTTTGATTAAAAATAAAAACCAACAACGAGAATAGTATCTACCATAGCAGCTGATCTTTACCATCATCATCATCACCAGCTAAGTGCCAAATTCAACGACAGACACCAGGCATGGCACACTTTTGCGGATTCATCAAATTTATATTTTTACTTTTGGTAAGTTTATTTTTTTATGATTAAATTTTTATAAGTTCTAAAAAAATAATATGAATAAAATAAAAAAATATAAAACAATATGTATTAAAATGTTCAGTCATATGGTTTCTTTTAGAAAACCTGTCCGTCCATGTTAAATTCAATTTCATGTAAATGTTCTTTCGAAAAGGAGGAGTCTGTTAGGAGACATATGTAGAATATACCCAATGCGGTGAAGGGTATCATACAGTCGGCCCAGTCCGACTTTATTATTTTATGTATATATAACCAGTGAGCGGAGCAGTATAGTCGAACGGGCCGACCATATGATACCCTACACAACTTCCACGAAAATCTAACTTTTTTTGGTTCTATACTCTAAGCTTTGGCAATATTTCGAGATATTGTAACCCTTTTGACCGACTAGAGGTCGGCAAATATTACTAATGTTCAGTACAACTTGTCTTACTTGTTACTTGTCCAGATTCCCTTCACCGTGGGTTGTGTTGTTATGTTCGGTTTTCAATTATGGCCTATAGATTGATTAGATTGATTCAAAGCGATCAGCGCTATATTTCCGCCCTCTAGTGTGGTAATGGGTTACTAAATAATATGTGAATACGTAAACACCTTGAAAGATCAACCACTCCTCTTGGATATATTATCAAATCCTGGGGTCTATGTCCTTCGAGAGTAAATATATAAGCTATAGAATACAAAGTTTTTAATTTTTCACACAAAAGTCAGGGTCCATTTGACCCGCTAAATATCGACCGATCTTTATCAAAACAGGCATGTTTATTCTTTGGCTCAATCCCCTTATCCATGCAAAAATTCGAGATTTTTGGGCCATAATTGGGGCCTCTGGAGCGACCAGAAAAACCGACAAAAATTAAGTATTTGGTCCATTTCATCTCCCAAAATATTAACCGATCTTTACCAAAAACAATAGTAGTCTTCATTGGGCCGAACCCATCCTGCATGCAAAATTTCGTGAAGATTGGTCCATAAGTGTGGCCTGTATCGTGTTTACAAATTATAATGGACAGACGGAAGGACGGACACACATGTCTAGATCGACTCAGCTAGTCGAGATATGACGATCGGTATACTTAAAGGTGGGCCTAGGGCCAAACTCTTGGGGCTACACAAAGCTATAATACCCTGACAACATAGTTGTGTAAATTTAGCATAGCGTTCTGAATGCAGTCTGGATTGGTGTGTGTTCAGTTTCGTTGAAATCGGTTCAGGTTTAAATATAGCTCTCATATATTTTTTCGCCCTATTTTATGTAAATAGTGTACCAAAGCCATTATATGTCTTTCGATTTGCACGAAATTGTGCATGGCATACTGAATTACGTCTATAATGATGAGTGCTAAATTTCATCGAAATCCGTTCAGATTTAAATACAGCCCCATACATATTTCGCCCGATTTGATTTAAATACTTATTTACTTAGCTGGCTTGTTACAGAACGGTTGTTCCATAAGCCGAACTTAAAAAAGATTTCCAAGGGCGTCGGTCTTGTGCGCATCTCCTACAATTTGAAAGGCCACGTTCAAAGATGTTGTTTTCTACTTGGTCTTTCCATCTAATTCGTGGCATTCCCCTTCTACCGGAACCATCAGTAGGCTCGCTTTTATATGCACAATATGGCCTAGCCACCGTAGTCGCTGCAGCTCAATACGACTGAGTATGTCGATGTCCGCGTATAAATTGTAAAGCTCGTTGTTCATTCGACGCCGATATTCACCGTCGACGCAGATCGGCCCGTAGATCTTTCGAATAATTTTCCTTTTGTCTTTTCTATTCTTTTCTTGAGTTTGGTCTGCGTGAGGTGGCCTTGTTTCTGAACTGCTTATTTAGACCATAGTAGCATCTGTTGGCCATCACAGTCCTTCTCGGAATTTCAAAACTGATGTCATTCGTTTTATTTATGTCGATGCCAAGGTATATAAAATCTTTAACTACCTCGAAGCTGTACTTCTCAAGTTCCACAGTTGGTCCGAGTCTACTGGACGTCTTGCGCGTTGATACCATCAGCTTGGTCTTCTCGCCGTTTACTGCCAGACCTACCTTGGCAGACTCCTTTTCAATTTGTTCAAATGTGGCTGTTACCGCTCGCAATGTTCGACCTATTATATCGATGTCATCGGCGTAGGCGAGTAACTGATGTTGTTTGGTGTACAGAGTGCCATTTCTGTTCACCTTTGCGTCTCGTATGACCTTTTCCAGTAGGATGTTAAAAAGATCACACGACAAACTGTCACCTTGTCTGAATCCTCGTTCGGTATTGAAGGGCTCCGACTTTAACTGCTGACCTTGTGTCACTTAAAGGTATCCTGCATAGCCTATTAATTTTGCAGGAATGCAGAACACAGACATGGCTTTAAACACCTCTGAACGGATAAGGCTGTCGAATGCGGCTTTATAGTCGGCGAATAGGTGTCCATGTGTTTTTCGTGAGTCTTTTCCAGGATTTGGCGCAGAGTGAAAATCTGCCAGGTCTGAAGCCGCATTGGTATGGTCGAATAATGTCAATCGTTCACATAGCACACTGGATAGCACTTTATATGCGATGGGAAGAAGGGTAATTCCTCTATAGTTGTCGATTTGATTTAAATGGTGCACTGAATTTCCAATATTTGCCCGATAAGACCTAATTTGGAATACCATACCGTATTTAGGCTATAATGACGATTGTTAAGTTTCGTTGAATTCGATTGAAATTTAGATATAGCTGCCATATATATATTTCGTCCGATTTTAAGTAAATGGTGCACAAAAGACCCAAAATATGCTCGATTGGCATACAATTTTGCAAAGCTAAGTTATTTAGGTATAACCTAAAATATTTAAAATTCGGACCCGGTTTAGATATACGAGTTAATGGAGTGGATTTCCAAACTCTCGAAGGGTGTTACCGATTTCATTTCAACTTTGCTTATTGTAATTTTTCTTATATCAAGTTCGAAGATGGGAATCCGCTTATATTCGCTACACTTCTTTTGGTACCTCTCACACAAAATGGTCAACATCTTTCTGAATATTAACACTAGATTGCCGAAGGCGGTGATTTTGACCGTTTTTCAATTTCAAGTACAAAAACACTTTTTTTTTTAAATTTGGTGACTTTTTGTACCACATAGAATTACGTTTATTATAAAAAAGTTACCAAATTTTAAAAAGCTGTGTCATTATATATGCAGTTGTTTTTGTACTTGAAATTGAAAAACGGTCAAAATGACCGACTTCGGCAATATAGTGTTAATTTTATAATATCATGAGGACGGACTAACCGATTTGTACCAAACTGAATTATCTCGGTCTAATCTTTGTGGTACCTTCCCATAAGGGTCAATATTTGAAAACTTATAAATCCAATAATGAGACCAATCATTGCACAACTTCTGGTTGGTTCCTCCCACACAAAGCGTAATCAGTTTTGAATCCAATATCAAAAGACTGGATTGTCCGATTTGATACTCATCGGTCGACTCCTTCTGGTATCCACTCCACAAAATGTCAAAATTATTAAAATTGTTTTGTCCCAATATCAAGCAAGTAGAATGTTAAATTTTATCCGAATTCTGAACATAGTAATATTTTTACCAAACCTACACCAAGTTCCACACCTTCTGGTACCTCCCCCTAAAGTGCCAACATTTTGAAATTTGAACCATCTATTATACATCTAATATTTTTACGAAACATAAATTAAATCCGATGATGGAGTCTATAGGACAACTTCTCCTGAGGTGTTAAATAGGTTGTTAGATGCTCATTAAAAATACCTTATATCGGTATGTTAAAACAGGAAGCTGCATTTTCCACCATGAGGTTGTTTTATTCTCTACAAATATGAAATGACAAATATTTTTACAAAACCTAGACCACTCCTGAGGATTGCACTCATCGCTCGACTCATTCTGGTGCCCACTCCACAAAGTGTCAACATTTTTAAAATGTTTTTGTTCCTAGATGAATCAAGTAGAATCATCGATTTGATCCGAATTGTCCGTATCGTATTTTTTTTAACCCAACCTACACCAAGATCGAAGAGATTTTCTATTCTCTGCTAATAGGAAATAACAAATTATAGTCGCTTAGCTTAGAAAATGGGCTCAGACATAAACAAACTGGAAAACTTGGCTGTAATTAATTTGCACTCTCATTGGGGGTGAAAATCTCACTAAATATTACCCCAAGTTTCGGGAAGGTATATTAAAGGTGGGGTGTATATTAAATTTGTCATTCCCTTGCAATACCTCGTAGACCCCATCATGTTTATATATTCTTGGTAATAATAAATTGCTATAACTGTCTGTTGAAATTACGATAGAGCTTTTGTACATACACTGTCGCTACTCCTGGGATGTTTGCTATTGAAAATGGCATATATAGATCCAAGTTTAGGAATAGTCCCCATAGAACGATACAACAAAATATTCGTCATATTTGGCAAGTTTTCCAATGAAATTGGATGAAATTTTGTGCTTTGGGTTCTCATTGGGTAGCAGATCTTTTTACCAACTATTATCTATGGCATGGCATAGCTAGCATTAATGAACGTCCCGAACGATTACATGTATTTCTGCCAAGACTTCAGGGAAACTTTCTGCGGTGAATCACTCACAATTTATCGTCCTACATTAGTCAAATGCCTCAAGTTTGCTATAGAAACAGGCGACCATTTGCTTCGAAGTTTTTCTCCCATGAAAAACTTTTTCGTTCGATTTTGGTCGTATAGGGCTTATATTCATAGAGCCGTGATTCGTCACCAGCGGCGTAGAGTATTGCATAGTGTGTAAGACTACATAGCGTTGTGCTTTAGGGATACGTGGTCGAACGTAAGCGTCGACTTTTAGAATTTTCGATTTTTTGCTTTTGAATAAAACGGCGACTTTTCGATCTGGTCAAACCTTTGAATTTCTAACGACTAATGAAAAATCGACTAAAAATTCGATTGTTTACATGAACAGAACATGAACATGCCAACAGAGAAAATAAAATTCTGG